TAGTTCATATCTGGAGAAGTTTGTTTCAGACAGTATCTTTGGGATCCCCTCGATAAAGAGTTCCTTATTGATTTTTAATAATTTGTGGAGACTTCCTTTGTTCGTGATTAGTTCCCTGATGTTCTACTCGATATGGTTAATAGATTCAGGTTTTTCCTCTTCCTCATCGTTGTTAAAGTTGACTTCAGGTCCAACTTCTTGTGAGTAGCCACTATTTTGATTCAAGAATTTCTTTAATAGAGGTTCCAACAACTAGGCTGCTTAAGTTATCTAACTAATTGATGTAAATCTGATAAAATACCTTTCAATAGTTTATTGACTTGAAACACTATCAATATGAACAGCCATCAAATCCTCATTTGAATTCTCCTCTTCTGGTTTGAACTTAATCTTTTTCAATTCTTATTCGTACCATCCCTCTATTTTCTCCAATTTCTCTATTTTTGGATTTTTGATTATGTATTCATCATTCATGTATTGTTGGATATAATTTTTCTGTTTGACAGCATTACAGGGTTAGAACATTTTGTTGATAATTGGTTTAAAGTTTTTATTCCTCTTGATTTCCTTATAGGAGTGTTTGAGTTCTTTGGAGTTCATAAATTATTGATTGATTTCAATTTCTTCAGGGACCTTATCCACTTGATATTCATCATCGATTGACTGGTAATTTTAATGCACTAATGTATGAATGATGCTATCGATCTATTGAGTATAATCTGGTTCATTTTTCTTAGTGATTTCTTCGCAATTGTAAAGGGAACAGCAATTTTCGAGATAGAGCAATTATGGATTAAATATCTACTTGTAGACAGTAGAGGTTGAGTAAATTAGAACACTTTATTTTGGGGGAATATCTAAATGCGAGTAAACAGGAGTCCCGTCCTTCAAATAGAAGTATATTTTTTTGGAATTAATCTTGAGTCTATAGATAAAATTGATAAAAACCTATTCTTGACAACTGATGTGAATTCCTCGAAAACGGATTTGTCTTTGATTGAATGATCAGGGACATACATGAAAATATATTACAAGGAACTTGTGTTGAGATATAACTGATTAACAATTACAATTTGTCGCATTCTTAAAATAGAGATTACAACTACCCTGCTTATTTTGTAAAAAAGCGATCTCTGGTGGGTATCTGTTCCATCGTAATGGAGGACCGTTTTGCTCTTTGTGAAGTCACAATGGATCTCTGACAGACATTTTCTTGTAATCGAAAGCGTTAGAAACTTTTCATGAGGTTGTTTTCAATAGAATCCTGATTTATCTTCAATCGTTTGCCATGAAACTCAATCTTTTCTTAGTACTTGGTTTCTTCAATTGTTAGCGGCTTCATTTCTTATCTACTTTCAAAATGCTTTGTAATTAGAAATGATGGAGGAGTATCTCTAGAAGAGCTTTCGCGATTCCTGAAAAAGAGTTTTTGCACTTAGATTTCTTCTTATTGATTGTTCTATTTTCGATAATGTTGATAGGAGGATTTGCATTATTTATTAATGATATCTGATGAAGACTTATTGGATTTGATTGTGCTTTCTAATTGGGATTTCATGATTTTTCTAACTAAAGGCTATGATTGAAATTCTTTTATAGGCGTTACAGAGGGTAGCATATAATTATTTTATTAATATTTTTGTTACATACAGAAAACCAAACATTCAATGACGTTTTCTGAAGAATTTGATATTCTAATATATGCCTAGTTATTGTAGATCGGATTTGGTTTCATTTCGATTTCTATCGAATAGATATACCTAAGAAAAACTAGTATTCGGAATTTCCATTCTATTTATCTGTTTGTAGTTGTAAATGATAAGTTTGGCTAGTTCCTCATCTGAGATAGTGTTGTCATTCTTCCTAGCCATTGCAATGAAATCCATAGCCAATTGTTAAGAATAGGTGATGTGTTGGACATCATGGGTAGCTTTGGTTATCCATTCAAATTGATGTTTTTCTGGATGGAACTGATATCCATAGATGGGGACTTCTCTGCCTTCACAAATGGTGACATATTTCAAATTCACTCCGTCTCGGCTATAGGCTATGATTTTGAAGAATGCTCCCAAAGAGTAGGCTTTTTCATAGGTATGTTACACAACTCCCCAGTTATGAGAATAGTATGGTCCATCTATTAAATCAAAATGTATGATTACCAACATTCTTCAGATATTCCAAAGTGACGGAGTCGATGGATTTCAAGACGAAAGAATCTTCTTCAGAATTGACCTCAAGCAATCTTTACTTACCCAGATCATCAGTCATTCTGGTCAATACTTCATAGTAGGATGAAGCAATGTAATTGATCAATTGAAAACCTTGGCATATTCCAAGTAGAGGATAGAATTTGCCAGCCTTGTTGAATTGAATAACCTTCTGAAATATAAAGGATGCTGTGTCAGTAAATTTATTAAAAGTGAAACCTGGTTGAGTATTATTTAAATACAGGTCCACATCTCCTCCAGTGAATAGAACTCCATTAATCTAATTTAAGATGGAGGTAATCTCATCATAAGAACTATCCCAATGAATTGGAATCACTCTAGCCCCAGCTTGCTCAATCCATTTCACATAACTAGAAGGAAAATAGGAGTAGAGGGATTTGTCGTAATCTTTCAAATCAGAAGGGTTTGTTAAGATGCCTATAGTGGGTTTGGTGGTGGCAGAGATCACTGAGGAGATGAACAATGATGCAATGATTATTCTTAACATTCTTTTATTTATTTAATATTATGATTTAAATCAAATGTTGTATACGTCGTAGCCGTGCAAGAAGCGTGATCCTGGAATATCGAAATAAGGATAGGGATCCTTGGTTGCTCTGGTGTATTGATGAGCAGCTCTCTTCTTAAATGGAACCCTAAGTTCTTAATTCATTTATCATACCACACATCCTTTTGGTGATAGATGTCGGTGATCTACTTGATGTAATCGGATCCATGTTCAGCAAACAATTCCTCAATCAATATGCTCCTCTTGTCTTCTGCAGCCAGATATCTGATATCTTACATTGCTTAGTAAAATGGCAATGATTTCCTCTGCATCTTTTTCAACTCTAATTCTTTGCGTCTAATTTATTTAACCATTCAACTATACCTGAATTGTCTTCTCACTTCCACTATATGCATTATGCCCCACACTTAGAATAAAACACCAAATGCTAAGATTATTTTGCCTTTTCTCCCTGGGATTCTCCTCTTCTCTGGGAATAGCTTTGTTCTCAATTCAGAGGTGTCCCCAATAGCTATATGCAAAGGAGAATTAGCCTGATCATATCTTCTCATGAACTAAGGCTTAAATAAATTTGCCTATCTGAAAATTTTGAGCATAATATTAATAATAATCAAAATCACAATTATGCAGGTTTTTTAGAGAAATTTGATCTTTGAAAATGGGCAATCGTATTATTCAAAGGCGAGTTAGGAATCTTATTTAAGCAATCTATGTTTGATCTTTGACTCGATGCTTCAGTTACCAACTTTTGATTGCTCTTATGGAAATTAGAGATTATTCTTCTATTCTTCAATTGAGGAGCTTCCTGAAATTATACTCTTTCATATAAATACCTTCTGAGGTGCCTTTTAAGCATTCATCATTTTCAGTTTATTCATCATCTCTTAAGGATTCATCGAATTACTTTTTCTCAATTGCTTTTTCGTAAAAGTTGTTCTATTCGTCTGCACAAACGTTTCTGGTATCATATCTGTTGTATTTCTACTGCTATCTCCAACAAAAGAATTACTGCTGCTATCATTATTCCACACTTTATTTAATTTGGTCTAGGATTTCATCATTAAAGGACGAATCCTAAAATTATTTGATGCTATTGATAATTCTGATCCTATTATAGATACATTATCATGAGGTGATCCAGTTTCATTGATTTCATCGGTTTTACCAAGTGCATCTTTTGATTTGATCATCAAATATTTCAAAAACACAAACATCTTAATGTACTTGGCTATTCTCTATTCTTTCTTAACTTAGCATTAAATTATTTCATTCAATGTGAAAGGCACAGAGATATCTCCCTTCCCTGTAATCCAAGGATGTTCTAGACATTAATTAGCCGTTAAACGATGTTCTGGTAAATAGGCAATCGTTCTTTCCAAAAAGTTTCTTGTATCCTAATCCTCATCGATTTTAAAGTTCAGTGAAAATCCCTTAATTTTTTCACAATAAGTTATTTTAGTATCCCCATTTCGATAGAAGGGATGTTCTCCCTTGTATAGCATATTATACACCACTATTCCCAAAGCCCAAATATCTACCGACTAACTGTTATCTATCAATATATACTCTTGTGTAATTTCCCTTTTTAATCAATTCTGGAGCTTGATACAACAGAGTCCCACAATTCTTACTCATCAATCCGTCCTCAATTCGATTGACAGATGCTGATAACCCGAAATCAATCAGAGTCACACTCAACTCCTCTCCATTCCCCCCAATTAAGATATTCTCAGGCTTTATGTCTCTGTGAACAATATCTTTCTAATGCAAATAACTCAAAGCCCTCAATATTTGCTTAATTATTGGAGTAACTTCATGCATCTATAATTTGGGTATGTATTCTTCCAAAGTCACCCCATCCACTTGATTCATGACTATATAAAACTTTTGCTGTGTCTCAAAAAACTGATGTTAAGTTATAGAATAATTATCATACTCCCAAAATCTATATGATATTTTTATGGAACAATGTTTAGAGAGTGAGTGCTTCCTGACGTATGGCATCCTCCTACTCCTTACTTCTGAACAACTTTTTTTCAACAATCTTGATTGCAACATTAATTCGCTTAACCTTGTCAAAGGCTGAAATAACCGTCGCAAAAGCTCCTTTCCCAAGCATCTGTCTTGGTTCAAACCTACTCAACTCAGGGGAGTAATTACTTTCTTAATTCATTACCTGTTTAAGTAATTAAATATAAGACATTTTAAATTATAATTAAATAGTAAATTAAAATTATCAATATATATACAGTATGTACTTTTGTTCAATCGTTTATAGGCTTTTTCTAAATTGGAGGCTTGCTTATTCTTACCCTTTGACTAGCCAGCACCTCTTGTTAAACGAGAATATTCTATCCTCTTGATGCAAAGGTGGTCCTCTTTAACTGAATTTATAGTGATTAATTCATACTTATTGCAGGGGCTTCACATTATTCAAGGATTGTCTGCCATCTGTGATACCTGATTTCTGTAGAATTGATGACTGATTCAAAGAATTATCGGATGTCGTGTTAATGGTGTGATTGGATTTAGCACTTCTTTCCAAAGATCTATGATAATGAGGAAACAGAAATTTTGAAGATTCCTTTTGCTACTGCAACTTTTACAAGTGATCACATGAGGTTCTTTCTCTTCTTTGAGTGATGGTTTAGATTTTGAATTAGGAAATTCTATTTGATCCAATCGAAGCAGTATCAACATTAGATCCTTAGAGCACTTCCTATTTCAATTACTTAAACTTCTCATTGGTTTGAGAAATAGATTATTATTTGACTTCGGAATCTTTATTATCCTAACTGGTGTTTTAGCTACTGGAGTTGAGTAATGTTTGAATTGATCAACATTGGGACACAAGACTTTGAGTTTTTGGAGAAACTGGATTGCTTGGATCAAGGACTTGATTTTTTGAAAATTGCTGTGACTTCTAAGGATTTCGATAAAGGTGAAAGGCTCAGTAGAGTTTTCTTTACCTGTAATCCAAGGATGTTCTAAACATTAATCTGATGTTCAAACGATTTTCAGGCAAGAAAGCCACTGTCCTAATCAAGAAATTAATTGAATTGTTATTCATCCCTGGCTGCCAATTCCATTTCATTTACTAAATCTTTTCACAATAAGATTCTTTGTCATCAAATTGTTAGTAAAATGGATGCTTGCCTTAAGTTAAGAGATTGTATACCACAATACCCATTGCCCATATATCCACACTCTGACTATATAAGGGAATGATCATACTCTGTTATATCTCTTTTTCTATATCAACTCTGGAGCCATATACAAGAAAGTCCCGCAATTGTCACTCATTAATCCAGATCCTTCTAGATAGGTCAATTGAACTGAGAGTCCAAAATCAATTAAGGTTAGTTTAACGTCTTCTCCCACCTGAGAAATCATGATATTCTCTAAAATAAAATTTATTCCACATACCCGGCTTAATGTCTCTGTGAATAATGTCCATGGAGTGCAAATAGTTGATTGCCTGTAACAATTGTGTCACAATGTTGTGTACTATCTAATCTTCTAGTTTGTTCTATTAAAATTATTTCCAATGTAACTCCTGTGATGAGATCCATCATTATATATAATTTACTTTTGGTTTCTTTACTCTACAATAACACCAAAGCAATCATACAAACGTAACTCTTACAAATATTCTAATGATTCAATTGATTTAACAACTGAACCTCCTTCTTTAACATTTCCAATTGACAAAACATTGAAATGCGATTTCTCTATTATCTTTAGTGCTCCCTTCTTATTTGTCATCAAATTCTGTATCTCCACCACTGTAGAAAACGCCCCTTTCCCAAGAATTCTCAGAGGCTTGCAGTATTGCGTAATGAAGTTTGGTTATTTCTCCTCCGAATCAATTAAAAGCTCACTTAGTTTGTTCATTTATAATAATATGAATCATTTATTTGGTTTAATATACTACATGGAATACGTTCATTCTGTTCTTCTCTGAGTGATAAGATTCGAACTATCCAACATGAAATTTATGGTAATTAATATATATAAATGATTAAACCTGTTTTAAATTGAAAAATCTAGCTGTCTTCATTTGAATATTCCTCAACAAATATACTCGATTACTTAAAGATACTACTCAGTTATTTGAGGATGATAGACAATCAATTATCACTTTACACTTGATTAATAAGTACATTCATCCTTTTTGTGTTTTGAATGCATATGAAATGGTCAATATCAAATTTCATCCCCCGTTCGCTAATTAAATTATGAGCTATTCTTTTAGGCAATTTAACTCAATACTAATTTTAATAGATTTCTATCAATTTGATTAAAATATCCCAGGTTATATCTGCATCTGGTTTAATATTGTATAAAACGTACTGGCTTTAAATAGATCTAAATAATTGGCTAGTGAAAAATCTATAGGTCATTTAGAATTAGCCTACTAATTGCTTACAATTAAATTCCATCTTAAGCTTTGCAACATTAAAAAATCCGAATTGAATAATTTCTACTCTCTTATAAATTAGCATGAACACTTTCTTCTACCATTTCCAATATCCTTGTTATTTTTTGATATTTACTATGTATAACCAAATTATTTCGCATTCATGAACAATCTGAAGGATATTTTAACGACATATTATTTGTTCTCCTATTTCAAAGAGGACTATAATATGTACTTAATTAAAATTGGATAGATTTGCAAACTACATAGGTTCAATTATTTATTTTATCCAGAAGATTCTCAATCTAGATTAAGAAGTAAAATAACATTGGAAATTAAAATTTAAATAGAATTGAATAAAAATCCTTTTGTTTAAAATTGCATAAGAACAATTCGAAAAAAAATATAGAGCTCTATGATTTATAATATATTTAAAATATTCATAAATAAGTCTATTTACATTTTAAACAAGAGATTTATTAGTGTATTTTACAAATAAGAATTCATTTGTGATTTTTGATTAAATGATGAACTCTGAATTTGTATAGTAAATAGGAATTATCCAGACAATGTAATAGTTTTACATAGATTTTGTAAGTATTGATATATATACTCTAATTGTTAAATATGCTATTGAACAAATTTAAACTTTTTCTATCATTCCCACTCAAATAAATATACTAATTTTCTTCCAGAAGTCCATAGTATGTGTTTCATTTTGAGTAATATTCTTTGGAGATTATTTTAAAAATATGTATAGAAATAAAATACTATATTAGATTTAGTATAATTATATGACAAAAATACAAAAATCATATTTCAAATCATAATAGATGCATGCAATTTGGTTGTTTCAATTATAATATAGAGTTTAACTGTAAAATTTTCATTTTCCTTATTGAACTTTCTTTCAGACCAAGACCTTTTGCATAAGTAAAGAATATCACTTACAATAATATTATATATATATTATTATGTAGAAAATATTATTGTTTAATGTACGAATTTCTGAAAATATCATCCATAGATTTTAATTGGTTTACCCATGGAGGTCTTGATGTGGAGCGTGCCAACATTCTACCATCCCTTTTTCAAGAGGGAAACCAAGAAGTTGATGGTTGTACTCAAGTTTTATCTGAGTTAATCTTCGGACATTTCGTCAGTACCGAAGGCTGTACCAAGGGACAATGTGTTTTTCAATTGGAATCTGAATTGATTTATATAGAATAATACTTGACTGAAGACTTGACTTCGTTAACTTTGCTGCTGACTGATTCGGTTTCAGGGATGGCAATAGGGAATTTACCGATCTTGGTGAAGACATTACCAACAAGTCTTGGGATAACTTTCATGAGGGATTCAGAGGCAATGAGGATGTCAAAAGGTTTGCACCACTTTTTGATTGGCTTCTTCTCTTTGTTGAACTTCTTCAGGCCGTCTTGATCGATCGCGGTGAGACCGAGGGCCTTGGCCTGATCTGAATCGATGAGAGGTAAATCGTACCGCAATGAGTTAAATTACCAATAACACCGATTTTGATGTTAGGGTAAGGGGCATGTAACAAACGTGTTGAGCCTTAGAAACGCTTGTCCTTCTAGACATCGTAATCTCTCAATTAAATTTACAACTCTGTGGTCTCTTTAAAGTTTCTCTTCTTTCTCTCTGTCAACATTTCATGGATGTATTTCTTCAATTATTCACCTTGGAGCTTGCTAAAGAAGGATTTAAGAGAGATTATAATCACCTCATTGCTAATTATTTTAAAAAAAATTTAAATAAAATAAAATCCATCTAATCAACTCTTTAATTCATCATTCTCATTATAATTTATATTAATCATTAAATTCCCATTAATATTTGAATTCTCAACGGGGTATTCTTCACAAACTCTTGCTTCTTCTCATTAAAATATATCAAGCAAGCAAGAGTAAGTATTTCTTCATAATTAAAACAATATCACACTTATAATTTATTACCCCACATTCTTTTCTATGAGAATTCATTAGATAAGCAGAATTCCTCTACAAAAACAGAGGATTAGAGCTTGTCTGATTTAATTGTAATTTGTTGTAATAAAATAAAAATATCTTTAAGTAATATTATGGTCCTTAGTGCTAATTCGCCCTTTCACCATATATTTTTAATAGAGAGTACCTTATCAACCAAGAAATTAGCAATAAGTTAATAAATATTCACAATTATTTCAATATTAATCGTAATATAAGAGCTTTAATTTTACTCGATTAAATCAATATACAAAAAAAAGAATATAATTTATATTAATTAAATATATGTCTGATTCTGATGATAGTGTTACGGAATTACAAGAGGAATCTGATAAAGCAGAAGTCATCCAATACTTTAGTACTAATTATGCCAAAGTTGTTTCGAATTTTCAATAGTACTGTGAGACAAGAAATTAGATGTCCTCACTAGTAATGAAAGTGAATGCATTCGAAAATAAAATAGATGTAATTACTTTTAATGCATTCAGAAAGTCAAGAAAAGCAACCTCTACGATATACGAGAAATTAGCAACAAAACAAACCT